GGTTCTGGGGATTGAACCCAGGGCCTTGTGCACGTGAAGCAAGCACTCCACCAACTGAGCTCTATCCCCAGCCCCATAAGGCTGGCTTTGAACTTGTGATCCTCCTGACTCAGCCTGCTAAGTTGCTGGGATTACAGGCATGCGCCACCATGTCTGACTCCTCATCTTTCGTATTATTGCCGTCATTATCTTACTTATCCATAATTACCTGTCAATTAAGAATTCAGAATAAGCCTGCATTGTTGCTCATGCCTCTAATCCCAGCTGGCTCCTTGCAGGGGTGAGTAGGAGGACTGCTGAGGGGGAAATGAGGACCACAAGTTCAAGGCTAGTCTATCTAACCTAGTCAGACCCTGTCTTAAGAATATTTCTTTCCAGAGAAAGAAAAAAAGTAAAGATTTTATTTTACGTTCATGTATTCCTTCTCTGATACTCTTTCTTTTGTTATGTATATATGAATTTATGGTCAAAAATTTTCTGATGAACTTCATTTAAAATTTTACAAATCAGGTTTACTGGTGACCATTCCCTTGATTTTGTTTATCCAGCAAATTCATTTCTTCTTCTTTTTTGATGCTGGGGATTGAAACCAGGGCCTTGAGATGCCCCCCTGTGCTACTTTCCAGCCTCAGAGACATTTTTTTTTAGTTGTCAATGGACCTTTATTTATTTATTTACACGTGGTGCTGAGAATGGAACCCAGTGCCTCACACATGCCCAGCAAGCGGTCCACCGCTGAGCCACAACCCCAGCCCCAGGGATTTCTTAAATAAGGTGTGAGGCTTGCCATCCTATGTTGCGTTCCCTTTTTATTCTGTAGGAGCCCCACTGGGGCAGTTGTAAGGTGGAAGTGAGGAAGCATCAGTCTGTCCTGTAGGGAGCCTATGCTCTGCCTCTCGGGTCTCCCCTCACTTCCTTTAGGTAAGATAGAAAGTCTAGAGGGGAGTGGAGTTCCCACCCCCAGGTGGTTAGGTTCTGGGAGTATAGGCTTTGTGAAGAAAAATAGGGAGGGCTCATATTTCAAGATGAGTAATTTCCCCATCTCCCTGCCAGAAGCACCAGGGACTATAYATATTTATATATATTCATATTTTTTATATATTTGTGTGTGTGTGTGTGTTTGTGTGTGTGTATATACACTTTTTTGGGGGGGTACCAGGGATTGAACTCAGGGGTACTCAAGCACTGAGCCATATCCCCAGCCCTCTTTTTGTACTTTATTAGAGATAGGGTCTCACCTAGTTGCTTAGCGCCTTGCTTTTGCTGAGATTGACTTTGAACTCCCGATCCTCCTGCCTCAGCCTCCCAAGTGGCTGGGATGACAGGCATGTGCCACTGCCCCCGGCTAGCACCAGGGAATATTATATACTGTTTCATCAGTGGGCTCTTGTTCCCTAGTTGGACTCTGAGCTCTCCAGGGACGGACACTGTCTTGTCCCTTTTTTCAGCTTTTCCGACAGAGTCATCAAGCACAGGCCTGAAACCATAAGCAGGCATCAGAAATATGTGTTGGTGCCTAATGTCTCAGCCTGGTGATCATTCACTGGGACTGCCTCAGCTGTGTCAAAGGATGTCCAGGAGCTGGTGAAAGCGGGCAGTCTACAACACTGGGAGGCACTCAGGCCCCCTTGGGCAGGCTTTGATTTGGGTGACAGTCCTTATTCTTTCTCTGTTCCTTAAGTCTGCAGTTTTGTGTGTGAGCAAGATGGAGGCCAGCCTGTCTGATTTTAACATCGATGCCCCTCGTTGGGACCAGTACACTTTCCTGGGGAGGGTGAAGCACTTCTTTAACATTACGGACCCCCGCACTGTCTTTGTATCAGAGCGAGAGCTGGACTGGGCCAAGATGATGGTGGAGAAGAGCAGGTGAGTAATCAAGAGAAGGGACTGTAGTGGGAGAGGGACACCAAAGGACAAGGAATAGGCAGAGATCTCTGGGAGAGAGAGAAATGAGAGGAGGAAGACTGGGAGGACTTGATTGGGCTGGCTAGTTAACTGCCTGTTGTCCTTGGGTGACAGGATTGGGGTCATACCCCCAGGTACTCAAGTGGAGCAGCTGCTCTATGCCAAGAAGCTATATGACTCAGCCTTCCATCCTGACACTGGGGAGAAGATGAATGTCATTGGGCGGATGTCCTTCCAGGTTCCTGGAGGCATGATCATCACAGGCTTCATGCTCCAGTTCTACAGGTGGGCCCTGGAGCAGAGCAGGGGATTGTGCAGCTGCCTGGGTCTACGAGGCAGTAAGCTGATTTAGGATGATAATAGCAGTCCTCTTGATCGATCACTTTCCAGGATACAGGCAGTACGCTAAGTTCTTTGCACGTATTGCCTCATTTAGCCCTCTTAATGACCCTGTACATAGGTACTATTCTCAATTCTGTTTTGTAGATGAAATTCTAGAGAGCCTAAGTAATTCCAAATTCACACAGATAGGCTGTCCTAAGTTCTTCTTTAAAAAGTACTTATTTGCAATTAATTTATTTTTCTAATGAACCATCCACAGTAGACCGGGCATGGTGCACATGCCTATAATTATAGCAACTCAGGAGGCTAAGGCAGGAGGGATTGCAAGTTTGAAGCCGGCCTCAGCCACTTAGCAAGGCCCTAAGCCAATCAGTGAGACCCTGTCTCAAAATAAAAATTAAAAATGGCTGAGGATGTGGTTCAGTGATTAAGCACCCCTGGGTACCAAGAAGGCCCTTTTTCTTGGCTCTCTAAGTGATTCAATAAACTTTCTCTGTAGCTGCTGGATGTGTGACTCTTCCTCCTCCCCCTTTCTCCTCCCTCCTTTTTCTCCTGCCTCCTCCTACCCATGCATTCATTTGTTCAGTTATTGAGCTAGGCCTTGGGCCAGGTGCTGGGAATACAAAGACTTTGGTCTCTCCCCTCATGGAGCTCTGTTGAGGAGACCAAGAAGTAAACAGAGTGCAGCTTGGTAAGTGGTAGGTTGGAGCAAGAATATGGGGTGGTGGGCGCAGGGTACATGGAGAGTGACTAATTTTGTCTCAGGAAGGACAGGAGACGGGTTGGGAATGTTCCAAGGATTTTTCCATGTGTGGAAGGAGGAGGGTAGATATTCCAGGCAGAGGACCCAGTCTGTCCAAAAGCCTGGTACATAAAACAGTGGGAACAATTTAGGGAATAGCAGATGATGAGGTAATTGGTGGACCTCAAGCCCTGCCTTCCATCCTCACTCCTCTGCTTCTGGCCTCCCTTCCTGGTAGGACTGTGCCGGCAGTGATTTTCTGGCAGTGGGTGAACCAGTCCTTCAATGCCTTAGTCAACTACACCAACAGGAATGCCGCTTCCCCTACATCAGTGAGGTAGGAGACCTAAACCCCAAGCTATCCTCTTACCTTCTCAGGCACAGGCCTGCTGAAGGGTTCCTGGGCTGTCACTCCCCCCGTCCGTGGGACCTGCAGTGAGCAGGTAGCAAAGACACCCTTTTCAATGTTTGGAAATATTTTCTCAGACTGACTAGGAGAGTATCTTCTTCCCAGACCAGTTCAAAATATGTTCATTCATTGATTTGACAAAATGTTCACGAGTGTATGTTATACCAGATGGGGTTCCAGGAGCTGGGGATACTTTGAGGAGCAGGGCATTGTGGTTCCTATTGTGGTGGAGTTTAAGGTCTTTTAAGAAAAGAAGCACAATAATCTCAGATTGGGATGGCTGCCATTAAGGACATAGACAGGGTGACAAGACAGCAAATGGCAGAGAGATGTCCATCTGGACAGGCTGGTCAGGAAGTCTTTTCTGCTATTTCCGAAGGGTGAGAATTCAGCTCCATTAAAGTCCAGGAAAGAGCCAGGTGTGGTGCCGACTGTACTTCAGCAATTCAGGAGGCTGAGGCAGGAAGATTACAAGTTCCAGGCCAGTCTGGGCAATTTAGCCAGATCTTGTCTCAAAATAAAATTATAGAAGGCTGGAGATATAGTTCAGTGGTAGAACCCTTCCCTATGACACATGAGGCTCTGGGTTCAAACATCACGTCTACAGGAAAAAAAAAGAAAAGAAGCCCAGGAAAGAATTCCCCGGGGCAGGGAACATCAGTATACACAGGTTAAATACTGAAAGAAGACCACTGAGCCAGGGTGTTGCGAGTGATGGGGAGGGGGCCCAATATTAGGCCGGGATCAGATGACATGTGGTATGAACCCCTGATACCAGATTTTCTCCCCCAAGCCTGTGGTCTTGCCTCAGCCATCAGGGCCCCCACCTTCAACATCTAATCTTTCAAACATGTAGCATCACATGTAGCATCTCCTTCCTCCACTAGGCAGATGGCCCTTTCCTACTTCACAGCCACAACCACCGCATTGGCCACCGCTGTGGGCATGAACATGTGGACAAAGGTATGGTCAGAAGCTGCTGTGGGCATGGTGGCCACCAGGGGGCAGCAGAGTCCTGGGGAAGACTGTAGAGCTGTCCTGGGATTTGCCCTTAGTGGGCCTTGGCCAGAGTTTAGGATTCTTAGTCTGGATGTCTGGTCGTGTAGTGGTAGCTCAGTTTAATTGTATTCCTTTCTTTATAATCCTTAAGTCCCTCCCACTCCCACCTTCCCATGAGTCTGAACAACTCCCATTGTTCCCTGCCCCCAACAGAGAGCGCCACCCTTGGTGGGCCGCTGGGTGCCCTTTGCTGCTGTGGCTGCAGCTAACTGTGTCAATATCCCAATGACGCGACAGCAGTGAGTACAGGGAGCCCCTTTCTCCGTACGTGCCACAACTTAGCAGGGAAAGGGCAGAAAACCAAGGCAGTGGGTGGCTTCCTGGGACTGGGATTTTATGGAGAGGGTTGCTGGGATGAGCCTCTGAAGGATCCCTGAGGACTGGCTACCCCTGTGGTAATGGCCCTGAGAGTGGTAATGGTGGGGGACTTAGGGTAGTCAGCCTGTCTGTTGTTGTGGGGGATGGGGGAGGTAGTAACCTGTGGGGTTTTACTCAGACCCCCTCCTTTCAACTGAAGCTGTGTTAAAGTCGTGAACTCTGCCTACCCCCAAAGCCCTGGGATGATGACCAAATGAAATGCAGCAGAGCGAGGAGCCTCAAGATAGAACAGAACCAAGAAGCCTAAGAAAAGCCAGAGGAGCAGATAGAGGTTTTCTAGACCCCCAGCTCCAAGTGTTTCAGCTGAACAGGTGGAAAAATTCACTGTGTCTTCAGTTTTTACCCTTTTTTTTTTTTTTTTTCAGTGCTAGGGAATGAAGCCAGTGTCTTGTGCATGCTAGGCTACATCCCAGTCCATTTTTTAAAAAATATTTTTTATTTGTAGTTGGACACAGTACCTTTATTTCATTTATTTATTTTTATGTGGTGCTGAGGATCGAACCCAGGACCTCACACGTGCTAGGCAAGTGCTCTACCACAATCCCAGCCCCAGTTTTTGTTTCTTGACTAGAGTGTGCAGAGATGTTCCTCTGCTATGAGATTTTGATGATATAATTGTGTGTGTGTGTGTGTGTGTGTATGGCACTCCATACATTACCGGGAACATAGTAAAGGCTACATAAGTGTTATCATTTACATCTACAATCCGTGTTTTCTTGGGATTGCTAGCATTGGAGATACCGTAGGATCCCTTAGAGAAAGAACACTACAGAATATCATGTATCCACATTGCTCCTTCCTCTTCCCTTTTCCCATCTAGCTTTTTCCCAGTAGATGAATAAGTGCAGCCATCTACCTGATCTCTGGTGGAGTGCTGTCAAGAGCTGGCCTGATGCCAGGCATGGAGGTGCACACCTGTAATTCCAGTGGCTTGGGAGGCTGAGGCAGGAGGTTCACAAATTCTAGGTCAGCCTTAGCAACTTAGCAAGTCCTTAAACAACTTAGTAAGGCCCTTTTTCAAAATGTAAAAAAGGGCTGGGGATGTAACTCAGTGGTAAAGTGCTCCTGCGTGCAGATCCCAGTACTTCACCACACCCCGCCCCCCCCAAAAAAAAAATAGCTGCTCTGTGAACAGAGAGTGGTAACTGTCAGGTACTGGACTAAGTAGTTGTCAGGCAATGTCTTATTTAATCCTCACCAGGTCCAATGCAGTGGGTGCTCAGCTTATCCCCATTTTGCAGATCAGGAGAACTGAGGCTTTAGAAAGGGTAAGGACCATGCTCAAGGTTATATATATACATGTTCTGCAGTTTTAGTAGTCTGCTGAAGTAGTATGTACCCTGGGCCAACTCTCTTAGCCACTGATAACTGGACCCTGGAAGAAAGCTCAGGGGGCCAGGTTGCAGAGGGTGGTCTAGAGCTGGAGTGCCCTGGCCTTGGTCCCTTGGTGTGTCACAGGCCTGGCAGGCTCCTAGCACCCCTTTCCCAAGTCCAGCAACTCCTATTTATATTTAGGGAACTCATCCAGGGCATCTGTGTGAAGGATGGGAATCAGAATGAGCTTGGCCATTCCCAGGTGAGCAGAGGCCTCTCTTGGGGTAGGAGGGGGGATTTCCTTCTAAGACCCTGTTTCTTCCTTAGTGATCAGAGCAGGCCTTTGTGCCATTATAGTATTAAAAAGGCTTTTCTCGGACTCCAACCTCATTCCCCATCAATTTGCCCTGTATTTCTCTGTTCGGAACAGGCCTCTTATGTCCTTCCTGCATCATTTCTGGATCCAAAACCAGCTCTGACTTGCCCATGACTCTTACCCAGCCCTCCAACGCACTCCATGTACACAGAATAAATTATTCCTGATCATTTATCTTTTCTRCCCTCAGAGAGCTGCAGCTATAGGCATCACCCAGGTGGTAATTTCCCGGATCACCATGGCTGCCCCTGGCATGAGTAAGATGGAGAAGCCCTCCCAACCTGGGGAACTCCAGAATACATGGTGGAGGCCTTAGCCACGCTCAGGTTTCCAGTGGGAGTTGGGACCCCAGCCTCTACAGCCATGCTTCTCAAACTCAGGAGAACAATCTTCGTTCCTAGAATATCACTTAGTCAGAGATTGGGGGGAGAAAGTTATTTTCATTGAACTAATGATAATGAAAAGCCATTATGCACCAGGGCTTGACATGGTGGGCACAGTGTGGGCTGCTTAGGAGATGATGGTAGAGAGAATAAATTCCTTGCCTGGGTTTGCATTCAGCAGGGGCATATTACAAAATTTGTTTACATGAGCTTTCAAAGTTAGTTTTTGATTTTGAGAAGGATGGTTTGGGCCTAGTAGCAAATGTCTTTCTGTTACAGATTTGAAAGTTCAGAAGTTTGGGAAGCATGTTTTTACTGGGACTTGGGGGGAAGAGTGTGGCCATGACTTTGCAATCTCTGTTCTCCCCAATGGCAAATATTTTTTGACATTTTTGGGGAAAGCAGGAAACTCTCAGTTCCCACTCTTGACTGTACAAAGGGGTCTTCTAGCCACTCCCCCCTGCCCTCCCCAGCTTCTCCCCTGTTCTCTTCCAGTCTTGCTGCCAGTCATCATGGAAAGGCTGGAGAAACTGCATTTCATGAAGGTAAGCGGGGCTGTCTTTGCATCTTCCCTGCCCAGTTCCTCAACCACACCTGTGCTTGGGACTCCCTCCCCTCCCCTCCTGCCCACTTCCACATTAGCAACAGAGAGTCTGGTCACTTCTCTTCTCCCTCAGGGCCAGCAGGTATCAGCTTCTAGTTTCTGCTAGCTGGCTGATCCCTAGAAGGGCAGGCATGCGGTTCACTTTGATGTACTTAGGACCCATGTGGGTCTCTCTTTTTTTATTTGTTTTTGTGCAGAAAGTCAAGGTGCTGCATGCCCCATTGCAGGTCATGCTGTCTGGGTGCTTGTGAGTATGGTGTTTGGATGGTTTGGGTTTTATGGTGGCTGGGACATCCAAGATCTGTCTTCTTATTAGCCTGTGTTGGGGAACATGTTCTCCTTTACTTGACTTTAAAAGTCGCTGAAGCTGTGCATAGTGGCACATGCCTATAATTCCAGTGACTTGGGAAGCTGGAGGATAGTATGTTTGAGGCCAGCCTTAGCAACTTGAAGAGATTGTCTCAAAATGAAAAATAAAAGGGACTGGGGATGTAGCTGAGTGGTAATGACACAAGTCACGTCAGCATTCTTAGGAGCTTGCCACTGGGTAGACATGTCCTAGCAATAATCATGCTTTGCAAAGCCATGGGGTTGATGACAATGACTCCATTCCTACTGGCTGTGGGTGCTTGTGATCTTGGAGTACGCTGCTTGCATACCCTAGTCATATCATTATCTTCTCATCTGCTTGAACCTGGGTGTGAGGTGGGGGTGAGTGGTGGCAGGACATTGGTTTTGTCCCCATTACAGGATGAATTTCCTCATGCTCAGAGGATGGGGAAAGGCTGTGGGGAGAGGACTGAGGGTCTGGCTGGGGAGGCAGGCCGGGTTCCTGGGTACCTCCCTTAGAGCTTTCAGGGATGGGGTGTGGACAGGGCTGGTCCCCTGACRCTTTGGTTTCTTATTTCTTACAGCCTCCTCTTCATGGTGCCAGTGGCATGTGGGCTCTTCCCACAGATATGGTATTGGTCTTTTGTCATCCACTTTGGTTTATTAAACACCCTGCCTCTGCTGCTCCAACCTGCCTGCTGCCCAAAGGAAGAGGGACAGACCAGGAAGGGCATCAACCTCTTAGTCTAAATCCTGGGCCTCTTAACCCTGGGTGAATGGCAAACCAGCCAGATCCTCAAGGGGAGGAACAGCCAGGAGGAGGAWTGAGTTGCTCCCACCACATGGAGCAAGCCTGAGAGATGGGCTAGTGGACAAGAAACTTCCTTTGTTGCTGGCTGGGTTATTTGGGAGCTCTGCTCTGGCCAGATCTGGCCTTTAAAATTGAATAAGGGCCTTATTCTAATTCTTGTTTCCCAGAGACCAGATGATGATCTCTCTACTTCTCTTCCTGTCCTCCCAGATGGACAAAGGAAAGGGAGGTCTCAGATGGAGGAGTGGGGAGTGGAGACTGGCTCCAGGAGATGGGTTTGCTTGGTTATGAGACTGAGAAGAAGCCAGTTTCCCTTCTTTGAATTCTAGTTCCGTACTGGTTCAGTGGTCATCTGCTAAACACTTCCTTTAGCTCAGGGAGAGTGAAGCCAGGCCTGAGAAGAAGTAGGGGCGGCATACTGTGGGCATACTTTATATAAAGTCTTGTAAAGATTCGGTCTGGAAAAATCAGGAGGTAACGTGGGTTGGAATTTTTCTGAGGGTACTTTGCCACTTATCCCAGGTGGCATGCTCATAATCTCCTCTGTTCTCTTCAGCAAATTACCAGTTTCCTATCTGGAACCAGAGCTCCAAGACACCATCAAGGCCAGCTATGGAGAACATGTACCTTATGTCTACTTCAATAAGGGTCTCTAAATGCCCCGCTCCAGCAAAGACCAGTGTATACCCATATTTGCACACCTGTCCTCCATCCTCTTTGCCAACAAGGCCTGAGAATCATGCTGGATAGGGGGAGGGTAGGGTAGTTGGGTGCATCTACCCAAGCAACTATTTTGTTGGACTCCAGGGGATAAACATGAAAAAGGGACTTGGGGTTATTGCTCAGTAGTGAGAGTTTGCCTAGCATGCATGAGTTCCTGGGTCCATCCCCCAACATTGCAAAAAAGGAAAAAAAAAAAACGGGGACCAAAGAGAACAAGGACCTAAGTCTTCTGTCTGTCTCCTCCTTAACCCCTGTCCCCTGGAGACAAGAAGCTGAGGCCTTCTCAGGGAGAAGTTACTGCTACCTGGGGAGACACTGAAGCCATTCATTTAAAAAAAAAAAAACTTTAGGATTTCCTTCCAGCCATGATTGGAGATGAGCCCTTAGAACAAGAAAAGTTCTATATCTTCTCTTCCCTTCCTGCCACCTCCTCTCCCAACCAATGGAGCCTTTTACCCAGGCAATTCTATCCTGATGCAAGAGAAGGGGCAAGCAGTCTGAGTCACTTTGGACTCATCTCCACTCTTCTCCATTCTCTTCATTGTGCCCTGGTTGGAAAGCTTCTTTGGGAGTTCTGCTAAATTAGAATTTAATCAGGCACTCAGGACTTATTAGTGCTGAAAAGGACACTGTGCAAAGCAGCAGAGTTACATGGTGCTTCAAGTCCTGTCTGTTGACGTTGACTTTGTTCTGTCTTAATCATGTCTGGATCTATGCTTGCTGTCTGCTCTATAATGGTGGAAGTCTCTTCTTTCATTGCCTTATATCTCTGTTTGAAAAGATAAGTCCCCTGTGAGTGAAAAGGATGCACATAGACATTAATCCACACTTCAGTGGGTAAAATTTCCTGGCCGCCTCCCTCAGCCCATTAGCTTAAACACCAAAGAAAGACTGGTGTGTGCTGAATGGGAAAGGGGAGTTATACTTGGACACCTCTTAGAGGAAATTGATCGGGACCAAAGAGCCTTAAGTGCACGCAGCAAAGTACAGCCACTTCTCCTCCCCAGCTGGGCTGCCAAAGTGGTTTCTCATGTTCCTTGGGGGACTGTTGTGGCATACCTGGGGTCACTGAGTTTTGTCTGGTAAGATTTGCTGACTGTGTTCAAAGGCTGTCACTGTGAATTGAATAAATTACTTGAAAGAGCTTGAAAAAGTGCAAACTAAGCTAATAAAGCCTGGATGGAAAGCAGGATCTGGTCTTTGGCCATCGTGTCTCAGAGGGTGTCATACCTATAAGGGAAACCTGTCTGATGCCTGGGGGTCAGCAATTGCTCCAACTTAAGACGAATCTACATCTATAAAGTGTTCTTTTATACGAAGAATAAGGATATGTTGGGCTGGAGCTGTATATGGACAGAATACCTTTATTTATTTTTATGTGTTAAGAATCAAACCCAGGGCTGGGGATGTGGCTCAAGCAGTAGCGCGCTCGCCTGGCATGCGTGCGTGTGACCCAGGTTGGATCCTCAGCACCACATACAAACAAAGATGTGTCCGCCGAAAACTAAAAAATAAAATATTAAAAAATTCTCTCTCTTCTCTCTCTCTCTAAAAAAAAAAAGAATCAAACCCAGTGCCTCACACATAAAAATAAGTAAAATAAAATTATTCTGTCAATATACAACTACAAAACAATAATTTAAAAAAATGTTACAGAGACCCTATTCTTTTTTTCTTTTAGAGAATTTTAATATTTATTTTTTAGTTTTCGGCGGACACAACATCTTTGTATGTGGTGCTGAGGATGGAACCAGGGCCGCACGCATGGCAGGCGAGCGCGCTACCGCTTGAGCCACATCCCCAGCCCAGAGACCCTATTCTTATATGTGGCATTTAAAGTGTAATATGTTGACTCTCTGACCCCTAACACAAAGACCTTCCCCTACCTTGGAACAATGTCTCTTGGAATGTACATCGTAATCACCTGGAAAGCTGGTRAAAATAGATTGTAGAACCAGTCCCCAGAATTTCCAGTTCTGTAGGTCTAGGGTGGAGCCTGAGAATGTGCATTTCTTTTGTGGGGAGTACTGGGGTATGAACTCTGGGGCGCTTGACCACTGAGCCACATCCCAGCCCTATTTTGTATTTTATTTAGAGACAGGGTCTCACTGAGTTGCTTAGCGCCTTGCCATTGCTGAGGCTGGCTTTGAACTTGTGAGCCTCCCGAGCCACTGGGATTATAGGAAGTGGGCTGCCACGCCYGGCTGAGAATGTGCATTTCTAATAATTTTCTTGTAATGCTGATCCTGTTGGTTGGGGGACCATGCTTGAAGGAATACTATTCTAAAGGGAAAGGATCTTGCGCTGGATGCTCAGAAACTGCTTGAAGTTGGTTCTTCCCCCATTTTGAAGTGTATTATGCAGTGGTTTTAGTATAGTCACAAAGTTGTGTGACCATCAATCCTCTAATTCCAGAATATTACTTTCCAAGAAACCCCAAATCCAAACAGGTGACACACACCTATAATCCCAGCTATTTGGGAAGTTGAGGCAGAAGAATTGCAAGTCAGGCCAGCCTAGGCAACTTGATGAGACCCTGTCTGTAAGTTGAAAAATGAAAAGGGCTGGAAATATAGCTCAATAACAGTGTCCTTGGGTCTAATCCCCAGCATTATAAAAAAGAAAAAAAATCAGACTGCTTTTCACCTTGGTTTGCATCATTTCTCTGCCTTTTGAGTTGGTTCCTGTGAGATGTCAGAAGATAGTTAAGGGTGATAAAGCAGCCTTGGTGTGGGAAGTGCTAGTTCAGACTGCAAAAGGTTTAGTTTTGTCCTGCCCTCAGGCAAAAGGAGAAAAGGGTGGGACAGAAACCCTGAGTTTGCCAGAATGAACTGGAGTTTCTAATAATGATATCTGATTTTTTGTTTTTTGTACTGGGGATTAAATTCCGGGACTTTAACACTGAACTACATCCCCAGCCCTTTTTAAATTTTAAAGGTAGGGTCTCCTATGTTAGTTAGGGCCTCCCTGAATTGCTGAGGTTGGCTTCAATCTCATAATACTGCCTCAGCCTTCTAAGTTGCTGGGATTCTAGGCCTGTGCTGTGACACCCTGGCCTTTATGTGTAATCCCCACCCCCCCACCCCCAGAGTGAAAGGAGTAGGATTTATTTAAATGTGAAGAATGAAGACAGAACTCTTTGCAGGGGCAAGAGGGGACCCAATAGGGATTGCCCTCCTGTGTAATTCTTAGAGTTCCTTGCGGCCGGGATCAAAAGACTGTGCCATGAAAATAATTTGGCCCTTGGTTATACTCAACTTCTCCCTAAAGATTGCTTTAGGGATGGATGATTTGTGGGATGGATGAATTCCTAAGAAATTAGAGATTGGCAAAAATATTTGTTACCATTTTTAGTACTTGGGAAAGCAGGATTGAGATGGAGGCAGAGCTAGTCACACTGGTATGTTCCTTAGTCTCAGCTGCTTGGGAAGTTGAGACAGGAGGATTGCAAGTTCGAGATCAGCCTGGACAATTTAGCAAGAGTTTGTCTTAAAAAATAATCTGGGTGTGGTGGTGCATGCCTATAATCCCAGCAGTTTGGGAAGCTGAGACAGGAGAATCCCTAGTTTAAAACCAGCAACTGCAAGGCACTAAGCAATTCAGTGAGACCCTGTCTCTAAATAAAGTACAAAATAAGGCTGGGGATGTGGCTCAGTGATTGAGTACTCCTCAGTTCAATCCCCAGTACCAAMATAAATAAATAAATAAAAGAGCTGAGGATATAGTTCAGGGGTAGATTGCCACTTTGTTCAATCTCTAGTACTGGAGGCAGAGGTAGGGAGGCAGAACTGTAGAACTGCAGAACTTGTTAAACTGGGCCACACTTATTTCTTCACTCTTACCTGTGTCACATTTTGCCTATATTTAAGCCAACTGCAGCTCCCTCCAGTATCGGACATGAACTAGGATAGGCCAGGCTGTAAAAACTTTGGCAGGTTTTTGAGAGAAAATTGGCTGCTCTGGATATCTGAATTCTTTACCATGGGTCTTCATTTGTGAAATTGTTTTTGCTTTTTATTATTTGTTTATGTATGTATGTTATGGTGCTGGGGATGGAACATARGTCCTCAAATATGCTAAATATGTTCACTTATTTTCCCAACATTGAGTTAATGGTTGAGCCTTGTAAAGTATTTTCTAGAGACTTAAAAATGAGAAGAAGAAGTAGGAGTGTGTGCTGTACAAAAGCTGCAAATCAGGCAGGCAGATATAGATTCTGTATACTGTGTGGTACTGTATTAGTGAATTCAGAAGAAGAAACAAAGATGAAGTCTAGGAATTTGTAAACAGGAACTGAATATGAAATGTGTAAAGAAGTTGTTGGGGCCTGGGGACATAGCTTAGTTGGTAGAGTGCTTACCTTGCGTGCATAAGGCCCTAGGTTTGATCCCCAACTCCACCCCCCCCACCCCAACACACACACACAAAAAAAGGTTATTGGGCGTCTTTTTAAGTGTTCAGTGTGAATGGTGCATTTGGGACAATGTAATGGTTGGCAGTGAGATAAAAAGTAGATGGGGACCAGGTCACAGAGAGGACCATATTGGGAAGCTTGAACTATATATCCTGTAGATAGTTGAAGTATTTTAAAAGGGGAAGTTGTCAACACAATGTTTGGCTTTATAGGGTACAGCACTGTTGCTGTGGTGCGTGGAAGAATCCAGGCTCTGCAGGGGATCAGGGAGGCCATTTTTATTTATCCATTTGAGAACACAGATTGAAGCAATGAGAGGTGGATTTCAGAGCGATTTCTGAGTTGGAGTCATAGAATTTTGTCCCTGCAACTTGAGGGGGAAAGCACTGCCTCAGGTTAAGGTACTATCTAATAGGGAATTCAAATGGACCTAACTTACTTCTTGGGTGGTTTGAGTCTGGAAGAGGGACTCTGGTAATGGCGTTGTGCTTCAAGACAAAAAAAAAAAAAAAAACCCTCAAATATTTTTAGAGCAATTGCTTTCCTGTAGGAGCGCTCAGTTACCTTCTGGAAATAACTTCTTATTTTTGGTGCTGGGGATTGAACCCAGGGCCATGTGCTTGAGAAACAAGCACTCTACCAACTAAACTATACCCCCAGCCCCTGGAAATAATTTATTTTCAAAACACCCTTTTGAATTATCATATTCTTCCTTTCATATCTTTTTTTTTTTTCTTTTTTGTTGACCTGTGGAACCATCATTTCCGCCACACTCAAAATGGCTGCACTCACTATAGATTCCACATTTTTCTGGATGTTCCACCCCCTGATCCTGGCTATTTCCGCCACTCTCCGCGGGGCGGGACGCGTTTACAACATCTCGCAGCACTCAAGATGGCCCGGTTTCCTCCTACTTTTCATTGGCTGAATTTCTCAGGTCTACCTCGTGAGTGGGCAAGACCCATGTTTGATCGACAGATAGTTTGATCAATGGACGAAGGTCAAAAGCCAATGAGCTGCTGGGACTGGAGGCCCTCCTYCATGTCTGGGAGGGTGTTTTGCCTGGGGTGGGTGGAGCAGAGCCGGAAGCGGGAGGGGAGAGTGAAACAGGAAAAGAAGGGAAGAAGGAAGAAGAGGGAAGAAGAGAGGGAGGAGGAGGGAGGTGGCGGCGCCGTGGCGGAGGAGCAGGAGCAGGAGGGGGATGGAGAGAAGGCTCCTGGGTGGCATGGCGCTCCTGCTCCTCCAGGCGCTGCCCAGCCCCCTGTCAGTCAGGGCTGAACCCCCGCAGGTAAGGAGGAGGGGGCGTCCGGGCCAGGCTGGGGGCTTGAAGGTCGTCGAGGCCTGGGTGGAGGGGTCTGAAGGAGTATAGTTGTGAAGAGTTGAGGGGTTTGAGATGGCGCCCATGCCTAGCGTGGACTGGAGCTAAGGGGGCGTCGTGTTTAGTTGAGGGACACCTGTGACTGTTTTGGTGGCAGGCTAGTGGCAGAGGCATGGTGCTAAGCGAATGAGGCTCCTTTGAGATGGCAAGTATGTTAGGTGATCTAGGGTGACTGTTAATTGAATGTTGGTGCCACATTGGGGCATGTGAGTCTCATTAATGTCCCCTCCCAGCTAGTGTCCGAGGCAGCAAGGCTGTGTGCACGTCTCTGTGTGTGTGAGGTGGAGGGGGCAGGCAGTTCTACTGAGCTGGCTTGAGAGTATATTTATTTCAGGCTAGACAAGGGGAAGTTCTGAGGACATCTTGGCTCCATTTTTAATGATGTATGGCATGGCACCTTGGTGGCACGTTGTTGGAGGCAGGACTCTCGGAAGGCAGGTGGGATGAARTAGAGTGGGAACCCCTTAAGAGGAGGGGCACACTTGGACTATAAGAAGCCCTTGCTTTAGGCTGGCTGGTCAGGGAGAGGAAGTCACTGATGCTGATCTGAGCCAACTCAGGCCTTTTGAGCAAAGGGTGGTTCTGATGCAGCAAATGGAGCACCCCAGCTTTTCTTGCTGGGTGGCTTGCTCTATCCAGGCAGAGAAGCTTGCTTGTGCTGATTCCAGCTCCTGCTGGCATTTCGAAACCTTAATGGGAGCGTTACTCTTGGTGCCAAATTGGGTGGGGTGCAGTAGGGGGAATCATCCCTCCTCCCTTAAATTTGGCAAGGCTTTGTTATTTTATTTACTTCACTTTCCATTCTCTCCCCAGTCTTTAAGAAAGGCATCAGACAATAACATACAGATAGCACAGTGGCCAAGGCCATACAACTTTGCACTTGAACTTCATGTTGTGATCAAGTACAGAAATAGAGTGCCAGCAAAAATACTTAATCTTTTCCTTAGGAGTTTAAGGTCTGCCTTTGAACATATGCATTTCGTTTTGCCCATTACTATTTAAGTGAGTTGAAATTCACATAACAAAATTAACAGTAAGTGAACAATTTGGTGGTGTTTTATAGTCTCAATGTTGTGTAACCACCACCTCTGTCTAATTCCAAAGCATTTTCATCACCCAAAGAAAATCCTGTCCTCATTAACCGGTTGCTTCCTGTCCTCCCTCCAGCTCCTGGTCATAACCAATTTGCTTTCTGTCTTGATGTATTTACTCATTCTGGATATTTCATGTAAATGGAACCCTGTAATATGTGGTCTTTTGTGTCTGTCTTCTTTTCACTTAATGTARTGTTTTCAAGGACCATTCACATTATAGCATGTAGTTCACATCTTTTTATGGCTAAATAATATTCCATTTTATGTATATACATTTGTTTCTCCATTTATCTGTTTGAGTGTTTGATTTTTCCTCAGAACTTATCTATGTGCATTAGAAATAACATCTGCAATAAATAGAGCTCATTTTCTGGTCTGGCTTATAAACTTTTCTAGGGCTGGGACCCTTTAGGGTTCTTTGAGGTTCTTTGTTTTCCTGGTTAAAACTCATAAAGTGGCAGGTGACATAAATTTTGTCAACTAGAAAAGTTATAACTCTCAAGACTGGCAAAGTTAAGTAGTATAGGTGTTGACAGAACAAAATATAGAACAAAAACTTTTTTTTTTTTTTTTTGCATATGAGTTATTTCTGAAAGTATCTGTGAAAGGCTGTTCCCCCTAACCAATAAATAATCTTGCTAGAGGGTTAATTCAGGAATGGTCGCGTCTTTGGAGGTTGGCTGATTGGTGGTAGGAAGTGGATCCACTTTGCAAGAAGGATGGAAAATGGCTGTTTCTACCAGGTCCTGGAGCATTGGAGATAATCTGAAGATGTGGAAGGGGCTCTTCAGTTTCTTGTTCTAATTACAGCTTGTTGAACACAGGCTGTTTTCTTATCATTATTTCTAGCATTTCGAATACTTATTTTGGGGATAGGGTGGCTTTTGTACTTTGTTCTGTTCAGATGAGTGCTAGTACTGACCAGTCTATTAAGGGGTTACAGTTCCTGCAGAGAAGGGAAAATTTTTGTAATGAGCTGCTGCCCTCTTCCTAATCCCCCTACATACTCTCACCCCACACCACATACCCTTGTCTCTTCCTGTCCAAGAGTACTAGATATTTGTAATGAGGTTTGTGTTTTGAATTTTAACCTTTGGAATGGAAGTTACAATATAATTATTAACTCTGAATCCACCACAATTTAGTCAATTTAGATTTGTTTTGTTTTTCGGCATGTACGAAATCAGTAAAGAAAAAAAAAAAAACCCAGAGACCCTTTGGCATAGAATGTACTTCAGGTACTCACTGTCCTTATTTCAGCATTTTAGCTCACTTTGAATTGAGGACTTGCTGTACTCATTCTGTATGGAAAATGGTATGGGTACTCCATTGCATTTTTTCCCCCTGAAATGGATCTATTAAATATAATCTTTTATTGCATATAATCTTAGTATCAGAAGTATAAGATATTTACAGGTGGCTTGCTTTTCCTGTTACCAGATCTGCATTGGGACAGCCATTTCTTGCCTTGTGGGCCCAGGAAAGTTCATCAGCCTGCCTCACTTATGTGATTAGAAACTTAGATTTAACTCTTGTATGGGTCACTGTGATTCATAGATACRATTCTTTATATTTGTGAAGAATACAAAAGCAGCAGTTTCTAAACAGGGAAGCCTTGGCATTTGTTTCCTTCAGTTAAATTATAGTTGAGATAGAGCTTATTTTTTTCTAATGTTGTTTAGATTCAACCAGAATATTTGACTCTGTTATTTAAAATAAGTCTTAGTAGAAATGTCTTTTTCCATCAGGTGGCTCAGCCAGTGGTCTGGGCACAAATCTCTAGAGATGCACTCCTTACCTTTCCTCGGCCAAGCATAAAACTTTTGAGTTGGATGGGGCCCCAGTTCCTGCTGTTTCCCCCCCCACCATACCCCAAGTTGTATTTCACCTTTACTCATTGCCATTGCTCCAGTTTTCAGCCTGGGAAAACCCTACTCCATTTCTCTTTTCTTACAAATGGCGTCAAACCATCATTTGTTTGAGCATTTGTCTAAAATCAGCATCTTGAGTTCCTGTAAGTCCTTGTACTAGAATTCAGTAGAATTYAGAAAATAGACACTTATCGAAGTCTAGCATTATTGGTATGCCCTGGAAACCATCGAATGCAAAAGAGAATCTCTGTCCTCAAGGAGCTGATCTTGTGGAAGGACAGATAATACACACAATGAATTATAATCTAGAGGGTTCAGTGCTGACGTGGTAGTGCAAACAAAGGACAGTAGGAACAATTGATTTCTCTGGGGCAAGAGGAAGATGAGGACATAGTGAAAGCTTCATAGAGGAAGGAGCTTTTAGACTAGACTTTTATTTTTTATTTTTATTTTTGGTATTGGAGATTGAACATAGGAGCACTTAACCACTGAGTCACACCCCCAGACTTTTTTATCATTTATTTTGAGACCAGGTCTCCCTAAATTGTTGAAACTGGTCTCAGACTTGGAGATCTTCCTGTCTCAGCCTCCCCAGTAGCAGGATTACAGGCATGCACCACAGTGCTGTTTCTTATCAACATTTAAAGTCTGGTTCAAATCAGGTGCAGTGGCCCATGCCTGTAATTCTAGAGACTGAGTAGGATCATAAATTTGAGGCCAGGGCTGGAGATGTGGCTCAGCGGTAGCGCGCTCGCCTGGCATGCGTGCGGCCCGGGTTCGATCCCCAGCACCACATACCAACAAAGATGTTGTGTCTGCCGAGAACTAAAAAATAAATATTAAAAAATTCTCTCTCTCTCTCT